GTTTATACAAGAGCCGGGGGTACAGGCCAGATGCGTGGGAGGATGAGACGATTCACCAGAGACAGAGCGGGGAACAGAACAGACAGACTGACGAAATACACTGCTGAGGGGAGCAGCGGGCAAGACAGGAGAGGTCTGCTGCGCCATGTGGGTTGCTTCGAGGCTGGCCGGGATCGAACCGACACTGCAGAGGCTGCGGACAGCTTCACAGCGCTGTGCTCAACTGTCTGCGCCACCAGGGAGGCCTGGTAGTGTAATTCCAGGTTTTCAGGTCTAGTTTCCCAGCCAGGAATCAATCCCAGGCTGCAGTGACAACACTAGGTTCTACCCGTCAGACTACCACAGGCTGGTGTCTAACGAAGCCGCAGCAGGAAATTTGCTGGCACTCAGGCAAGTAAGAAAAAAGGGGCAAATTCATTTAGAGAGGTAGATATATGGAAAAGCTTATTAATGAGAAAAACGAAGTGGGATTCCCAGGCCTGTGGACTGGCCACAAGAGGCAAGGAAGCCACCACGGGACTCGTGCCTCAGGGAATATGAATCTTCTTTCCCTAATTATTCTAAAGTGCCATCAGTCTTTTGGTGATTAGTTTTCAGTGGTCTCACTCACTCTGTCTTAAAAGTCTCTGTGCCCAGAATTACATCTTGCATCCCAGCTCTTATCTTGGAGTCCTTTTTCTTTATACTCCTCGTCTGAGAATGTCCTGTCAATCCTTGGAATTTGCTGCCTTTGTCTCTGGAATCTCTCTTATTGCTCCAGGCTTTTTCCCATGCTATTCTGACCCTAGATGCTATCCACTTGCCCTATGACTCACTATTAATCCCAGTTTAAGGATTATATTTGGAAAAATGCTGCGTGGAAGAAATAGGAAGGAAGTCAGGGAAGGCTAAGCAAGCTGTCAGACCAGGATATTAGTGTGATTCAGGAAAAGAAGAGGGGAAGAGAAGACTGGGCCTGAACGCCTTAAGACATTTTTGCAATTTCTCTAGGCAAAATCACTTGGGCCAAAGCAAGTTGACAAAGGAGTCACCTGTTTTTTATGAGTGAAGCAGCCTTGGAATTTCTGTTGTATTCGCTCACAGGTGGTAACTAAGTCCAGGCATCGCGGGCTCAGTGATGGATATCAGTGTCATACATCTGGGTCCTGGTGTGATGGAAATGCCGCAGCTCCACTGGACATCTGAGGGGCCAATATCAGAGGCACCACCATAAGGTTGGTTACACTGTCCTTGTGATCCTTCAATGTTAGTCCATGTACTGTGCCTAGAACAGTGTCAGGTGCAACACAAGCACTAAGTGCTACTGTTACTGAGTGCCAAAGAGTTGCCTGTGAGGGTGTTATGTCAGGAAAAGAAACTTACAAACTTTATTCTCTAAACTTCAGGATCTGCTTACTTTTTCTTTAAGCACTATTCATAAGGCTTGGTTAACTTCAGTACAAGCCAAAGCCAGGTAAGAAATGACAGCTTAAAAGAGACCTGAGGGACTCCCCTGGTGGCGCAGGCGGTTGAGTGCAGCGCTGTGAAGCTGTCCACAGCCTCTGCAGTGCGGGTTTGATCCCTGCCGGCTGGCAAGAATACCACATGGCGTGGCAGACCTCTCCTGTCTTGCCCACTGCTCCCCTCAGCAGCGTATTTCTATCAGTCTGCCTGTTCTGTTCCCCGCTTTGTCTCTGGTGAATCCTCTCACCCTCCTGCAAATCTGACCTGTACCCCAGTTCTTGTGTAAATAAATAAATTTTTTGTAAAAATCTTTAAAAAAAAAGAGAGACTTGAAGTTTATTAGTATTAGAATAATCAGAATTAGAATAATCAGAATAAAACTGGGAGGTGTGGGGTTGACAGCAGGTGAAGAGACAGAAAAACAATAAACAGCAGGGCCTCCCTGGTGGCGCAAGGGGTTGAAATCAACCTATGAAGCCATGCGCAGCCAATGCAGCATGAGTTTGATCCCTGGCCAGGGAACTGCCCACATGGTGCAGCAGACCTCTCCTGACTCACCCACTGCTCCCCTCAGCAGTGTATTTCAGTTGATCTGCCTATTCTGTTCCCCACTCTGTCTCTGGTGAATCCTCTCACCCCCACACCTCTGGCCTGTACCCCAGTTCTTGTATGCATAAATAAATCTTTAAAAAAATAAAAATAAACAGCAAACACAGTAAACAACAGAGTCAACACAATGACAAAAGCACACATTTTCAGGAAAAATGAAAGGAAACTCAGCCCCAGCAACATTTAGAAGGCCTGGGTGCTTCATGGTATTACACAAATGGGATGGTATCACGTGGTATTACATGCAACGTCTCAGAACTGGTAGAACCTGAGATACTGCTGTCTAAAACAGACTTTCACTGTGAAAGAGGGTTGCCTATAGCAGGTACACAGGACAGCAGCAGCCACATGAAGAATGAGAGAGGAATATAAATATGTCATGGCATACATACATGTAACAACAGATGTTCATAATAATGAACACTAGAGCAAGAAACTATTTTACTGACCCTCTGAGAGGCCCACTTGGAGGAGGAAGGTATACAATATATTTTAGAGCAATTTCCATCCGGCATAATTAAAGCTACAGAGCAGATCCATAGAAAGAGTAAATGTGCTAGGATTCTGTACAGCTGATTGATTAATCTAATTATACATATTTTTGGTTTTCCTGTGCATCAATGTTGATCATTTTTTCATTCACTTGAGACTGGACAATCCTCACTCTTCTCATTTTATGACCCGATTTTATGTTTGGATCCCCACACCTTGTGTAGCATTAGTCATCCCTGCCGCGGTTCACTTGCTCCCTAAGCAAATATAAAATCTCTAGGATAAGTCATTAATACCAGCAGAACTTCCAAGCCATTTAAATTAAGCTCCCATGAGGGGCTGGACAGTCCCATGACTGGCACTAAGGGTGCTCACACTACTGGCATGTGCACCCCAGGACACCCGATTAGACATTGTCTGCTCTTGCTTCCTTGGCTGCAGGCTTCACTGTGAAAACACATCCTTGTTTCCACCCAGCACTCCTTTCACACGTGCCGGTTCTTGCATATGAGCCACTGACAAGCACGGTGCTTTCACAAACACTGAGCTAACAACACAATTGTTGGCAAGGGATATGATATCAACGCCTTTGGAAAATAACTAAAGAACTTGACAGCTCATCTTCCAACCTCTCAGGAGTACTGTTAGAGCCTGAGAAACTGTTGCCTAGAACAGACCTCCACTGTGAAACTGGCCTGCTGGTAGCAGTACGCGGGACGGCAGCACGGAGAGAGAGGACGCGGAGCGCAGACAGCATGCAGACATGCATCTAGTATGCTACCTACCTTTTTTCTGGTTTATACAACAAAAATACCACAGAGTGGGTAATTTAAACAACACACTGTTATGTCTAATGGTTCTAAAGGCTGGGGAGTTCAAGATCAAGGCGCAGGTCGATTCAGTGTCTATTGAGTCCCTTCCTCCTGATTCAAAGACAACTAGCTTCTCAGGTATCCTCAAGCAGAGGGAGGGAGCACTGATAAGGGTTCCTGAAGGTTCTACCCTTGTGACCTAATCACCTCTCAAAGATGCCACCTCCAAGTCCTATCACACGGCAATTTAGACTTCAACATATGAATTGGGAGGGGATACCAACATTCAATTCACAGCATTTCTGGAGCACATTTCAGAATTAAGAACAAAAGCAGAATCTGCCTCATTTTCCCACTGATTTGTAAGTGCCTTGGGGGCAGAGGTCTCTTTGTTTGCATCTACACTAAGTAAAATTTATGAGGCGGAAAAACAGACATGCTACAGGCAGTGCGCAATTCATGTTTGATAACAAAGAACAAAAGAAAAAAATGTCCTAAAAGAAATCTGTTTCTGACATTGCTATAAGGGTTAAAATAGTTGTTAATCTCGTGTGGGTTTAATTTCCCCCAGTTACTTCTTTTTAAATCTTCTGTTTTGGGGTTTAAAAAAGGGGGCTTGATGGGTTGTGCTAAACTCCATACATTCTAAGAGACAGCCAGTTATTTTAAACGTTAATGAATTAAATATTTTATCTTTCTCTTTTATTATTATTTGCACAGTCTTCTAAAGTTACCCATTTTTCTCTTAGTATTTTCCCCTTCCCTTTTATTCTAGATGGCATATACATATTTTGAAATAAACAGATGTACAGGTTAAAGAAGTATAACACACAAGGAAAAACAGGCAGAAAGAACCCAGAGTCTGGTATTCCAGGTGTTAGATTTTTGCCTTATTTTTTCTTCTTTTTTTCTTTTCTCATCTGTGCATATATTTTTCAAGAAATGAAAGTTCATATACTGTAGCTTCTCAGGTATGAGTAAATTTAAGATAATAGTTGAGTAACTATTTTCAGAAACTTAAATTTACCTAAATTTAACTCTAAATTATATACTTACAACCAGCACAGTGTTACATGTCAATTATATCTTGATTTAACAAAGGGGGAATACCCCAAATCTTATAAATTTTTTGCTTTTTCCCCAAAGTAAATTGGTCAGGTATGAAAAAAAAAGTATTCTGAAGCATTCGAACTTTTGATTTAAGTACAGACAACATGTTGGCTAATTTGTATTGATTTTATCTGCCCATCTAGATGCAATCACACTTTTAAAAGTAGATTCCTGTAATTTGCTTTTCTATAAAATGTCACCAATGCATTAAATACTTTGAAAACAGTCTTAGTAAATCAATCTGCACTTACTAGATTTGGTTAAACGATAGCATTAGAATTCCATGCCGAGATTTAATTTGGTTTTAAAATAACTCTCTACATGCAGAACATTTCCAAGGGCGGAAAGGCTAGTTCCCAATTATTTTCATGCCGTCAGTGCTAAATGTGTTTAATGACTCGCTTACCTACAAGCTGCGGGTTCTCTGAAGACTTCCCTGTTCAGTGGGATGCACACATTTTACCTCAGGCTGTTTTATATTTTAAAAAAGGGGAACTGCAGAAGCACAGCAATATGAAAAGTAAAAGGTCTTACCTTGTTCTTGTTAAAGGTATTATAGACTTGATCAACATGATGATTGGCTCTTTGATTCAAACCTTGCAGACCTAAGAGTATCTTAATTCATGCAGTGTTTGCAGGCCAGATGGATATTCCACCATAAATTGTTTGCACCACGTACAGGTCTCTTTAGCAGGAAGTGCTGACTGATCACTAGCTACAGATACTCTATTCTCCATCATGATTCAGACTACAGCTTTTACTCAGGCTGTTTTCATGTGAGGTCACTCCAGATTTAGTCCTTCACTCTTCACTAAAACTTGAGGCTAACATATGCCATTAGAAAGCTACTCTAATTCTCTTACACCTATAGGTTAAATATGAATAGAAAGCTAGTGAGATGAACTCAACTGATCAGTTTTAAGATGGAGGTTACTTACTAAACTGATGGGATTGTGCTTACTGCCAGTTTGAGACAGTTTTCTGTGAAGGGCAGCAGCAGTATTTTAGAGAGGGCAGACCTTGCTGTACTGTTAACTATAAATTATACCTAAATCATTGAATGGTACAATGAAGTCTAAAGGAAAGAACTCTGAGCTGCAATCAGCACGGGTTCTAGACTTTGCTCACCACTTATTAACTATAGTGAACCATTACTTAAGTTCTCCAGTCTCAGTTTCCTCATCTGTATAATCATATCAAGAGTATTTGCCTTCTCACACCTGAACACTTTGGAGATATATTTAGAAGAATATTTTTTTTAAGCCACAGGAAAATTATACACTGAGTATTGTTAAATTACAACAGAGGTCCATGCATAGGAGAGGGATATGGGTAGAGATAAATAGATAAGAAGTAAGAAAGAGCTATAGAAGTAGTAGGCTATTGAGTGTGGTCTGCTGATAAAAGAACATATTGGGTTGTATCTTCTGGCATTGTTCTTGCTGTTTCCCCCCTCTACCTGTCTTTTCTGTTTCTCAGGTCTATATTTGCCTACTCATGCGCTCTGCCCGCTAGTTTCATCCCACTTCAGGTCCTGAGCTAATCTTGTTCCAGCCAAGCTCCCGTTGTCAATGGATTTGAGAAATGAGCCAATGGGCCTGAGAACTGCCAGTAATGGGCAATGAATTGTCCAGTGTGATCCTGAAACCCTTGCTACCAACCATGCTTAGGAAGAACAGAAATACATTATTTCCATACGGGTCATAGGGTCTTAAGTATGGTTCTTCTCTCCTAATCTTATTCCAATTTTTCCCAATTCCCATGTTGTCTCAGTTTGTAAGTCACAATTCTCGCTGCCTTAGACACTATTCCTTAGTTCTGATTAGCTGTTTAAAATTCAAGACTAAATGACTGCCTTGACAGGAAGTGAGGTGGTTGGGGTAAATGTGATTAATTTACTTTCAAACATAACAATATATATAGACTTTCAATGGAAAATTTCTATTTCATAACATTAAATGACAGGTCAAAGAAATAAAGTCATAGAAAATTGGAATGCATTCACTTGGAAGCATTACTTGAAGCCATTAGAGTAGGTAAAATTTCTTAATGCGAACAGAAAGGAAGAAGAGATAATGAGGACTTATCCCGGGAATTATTTAGCTAGGAAATATGAAGAATATCCTGTTAAAATGTTCAAAGACCATTCTCTGGGGAGTCCCCCTTCAGATTATTTGTAAATGTCTGCCAGAGGAACGCTCAGAGGCATTCACTTATCTCATCAACACTATTTATTAGTAACCAATTTTTTAGATTAAAGGAGAAATGGATACTGATGATGGCAGGAGGCGGTAATGAAAGGTTTCAAGGGGACAAGAAAATCCCTTATAGAAGGAAAAGTTTGGATAAATCAAGAATACAAGGGCTGAGATCCAGAAACTGTTTTCTCATATAAACTGTTTTTTAAAAAAATCTGCATATTCATTACTGCAGATTAAAAAAAACTTCAGGGGCCTCCCTGGTGGTGCCGGGGTTAAGACACAACCTATGAAGCTATCCGCAGCCACTGCAGCACGAGTTTGATCCCCAGGCGGGAGCTACCCACATGGTGCAGCAGACCTCTCCTGACTTGCCCGCTGTTACCCTCAGCAGTATATTTCAGTCAATCTGCCTGTTCTGTTCCCCACTCTGTCTCTGGTGAATACTCTCACCACCACCCCACACCTCTGGCCTGTACCCCAGTTCTTGTATGCATAAATAAATAAATCTTTAAAAAAATTTTTTAAAAACTTTAAAACTATTATAAAAAGTGTGAGAACCTTATATTGAATATAATATTGATATCCAAAAACCAGTTGCATTACTATATAAAACATTAACCAATCATAAGATATTGGGGAAAAGATTTCATTTATAACAGGCCAAAGAATAAATCTAACAAACTATAAAAATATAACTAGAATGTACAAAATGTATTTGAAGAAAAATTTTAAATGCAAATATAGGTTAACAATGAAGATATAAACACACAGAAAGGCATATATTGGCCTTGGAGAGGAAAACAACATTTTAAAAAGGCATTCTCTTTATATTAATCTATAGTATCACAATTAAATACAACAAGATACAAAAGAAATTTGAGGGATAAGTGATGACTAAAATAACTAATTCTAAGTTTGAATGAGGATTAAACATGCAAAAATAGGCAGGAAAATTCTGGAGGAAAAAAACTAGTTCTACCAAAACAATAGGGGCCAGATATGAATAGAACTTTAATATGCAGTTAGGTGGCACTGTAAATCACAGAGATAAAGATTGATCGTTCAGTTAATAACTGTGGGACAACACTATGACTATGTCAAAACATACACATGCTAGATTTCTAACTACTCCTTGTATCAACATAATTCTGGATGAATCAAAGATTTTAGGGCCTCCCCGGTGGCGCAGCGGTTGAGCGCTGGGTTGCGAAGCTGCCCGCACCTCTGAGGCGCCGGTTCGATCCCCAGCTGCTCCCCACCGGAGAAGGGTCTCACATGGCATGCAGACCTCTCCTGCTGCCCGCTGCTTCCCTCAGCAGTGTACTTCGGGCCTTCTGCCTGCTCTGCTCCCTGCTCTGGCTCTGGTGAATTCTCTCACCCTCCCGCGTCTTCTGACTGTACCCAGTGCTTGTATAAACAAAAAAACAAAAACCAAACAAATAAATAAATAAAAATGCATGCCTCTTTAAAAAAAAAAAGTTAAAAAAAAAGATTTTACAATAATTATTAATAATCATTATAAAAAGACATGGTAAAATTTCTCTATAATTTCAGCATTGGGAATTACTGTCTAAATATGACTACAAAACCTAGATGCCATAACCAAAGGAAATTGAACCAATTTTTTTTAATCCCATATGGCTCCAAGCACTAATACATTTAAAATATGAAAAAAATTGGAAAATATTTGTAGTATGTATCATATAAAAAAGATAATTTCCCATAATCTATAGTTATTCTAAATAAGCAAGAAAATACCACCAAATAGAAAAATGGACAAAGTCCAAATTAGAAAATTCAAATGCATTTTAAACATGAGAAGACGTTTAGCCTTACTCCTAATATAAGCAATGAACATTGAAGCTATAAGGATATACTGCTTTTCACCCATTTGATGAGCAACATAAGAAAGTTTGATAATTCACAGGGTATCTAAAAGTGTGAGGAAATAAGCACTTAAATATTGATGTGGGATTGTATACTAACAAAATTTTTATGGAATATTACAAGACAGTATCTATTAATAACAAAATGAATATGACCTCTGACCTAGCAACTCATCTTCTGAGATTTATTTAGCAGATATAGTTGCACATGTGTGAAATAAACATACTTTACAAGTAAATTTAAAAGGATGGGGAAAATCTAAATGCCCATCAGTATAAGAATAGTTATATAAATTTTAGTATGTGCATAGAATGCAGAAAGAAGAAGTAATTGAAGCTGAGAGAGCTTTACATGTACTGGCCCTCCCATGGAGAGATCTTGAAGTATATTAAGTGGAAAAAAGCAGGAGCATCTTCTGGGTGCTATTGCATCAGTATTTACATCTATGTAATGATTTATATATTTTATGTACTTTTTTTTTAACAAATTACAACTCTTTTTTTTAAAGATTTATTTGCTTGTTTGTTTGTTTGTTTATTTATTTATACATGCATACATACATACATACAAGCACTGGGTACAGTCAGAAGCGTGGGAGGGTGAGAGAATTCACCAGAGCCAGAGCGGGGAGCAGAACAGGCAGACTGTCAAAGTACACTGCTGAGGGAGCAGGGGGTGGCAGGAGAGGTTTGCACGCCATGTGGGACCCTTGCCCGGCGGCCGGGGATCGAACTGGCGCTGCAGAGGCTGCGGGTAGCTTCGCAACCCAGCACTCAACTGCTGTACCACTGGGGAGGCCCTATGTACTTTGTTTTTAGATGGACTCACAAGTAAATGGTAAAAGTGTGCCTCTTGAGAAGAGTACATGGCCAAGACATCTGGAGACTTTTCACCATATTCCATTTCACATGTTCTGAATTTTGTACTATGCGCATATACACAGAATTAAAATTGCACAATTCCACAAACAAATATTAAATGCTTTATTGTTTTTATCCAATGCTGCAGACATTTCTAAACAAAACAATTATCAAAGAAAATGTAAATACAAAACTCTTACATATGTGTAATATGTATTCATGTTATGCTTAAAAGACTATTTTACTATAAATATGTAATAAAATTATATAAACTTATCAGAAAACTTTTTTTTTGCATTCATATTTTCTGCTTTACTGAATAATGGCTACATTGAAGAAAGGGCACAAAGTCTCTTTCAAATTTCAAGAGGTGACTTTGTGGTTCTTTCAATGTTAATTTTGAAAACCACTGTTACCCAGTTTTTCAGTCTTGAGTGAAAACAAAATTTAGGCCTAAATAACATAGTAGCTCATGTGGGAATTAGAAATAGTTTCTAAGAAAACAAGAAGAATTAGGGAACAGGGCTGAGAAATATATAAATTGTAAATCGGTCTCCATTTCTAAAGTATACGATTTTCTTAGTGTTAAATAGGATGGATTTTGTAATAGCAAATACAAGGGGAGATTTTTTTTTCCCTATGAATCTTCCCTTTTCTTATTTACATTAAAAAAATGTCTTTTCTGACTTTTACTTTTGAGAAGTATTTTGATTTTTTTCTAAAGGGAAACTGTGTCCTATATCTCTAGTCATTTTACTTAAAGTGTTCTGGAAAAGGAGATTATCTTCTTGAAGCAAAGATTCTAAATAACTGTCAATCTGCTCCAGATCTCCTTCTGGACCACCCTGGAAAAGAGAAGCAACAACTGTACCAGGGGAAGAAGCTATAGGTCGCCTCCTAACCATCTTTCCTATGATTCATGTAGCAACACAAGGTACCCTGCGTTGAATAATGCTTTTAACCTTTCAAAATATTTTTGCATTCAATCTCATCTTATGCTCACAAGTGGCTAGCATCCTGGATCATTTTTCTTCTTTAGTGTAGACTAGTTCAACTGTTTTATTCCCCTCTATTTTATTACTAGACACAGTCCTAAAGTGCCTCCCCACCTCATCTTTCTTCATAATAAGCTTTCAGCTTCCATTTTTTTAAAATGCATGAATCTTTATTCTTATAGAAAAAAACAAGATGAGTAGGCAAATTTTGACTTCTCTGTTTCTCCTGCTTGCACTGCAGCATCTTTTCCACAGCTGTGGCTTTCCATCCTGATCTTTCACCCTTTTCTTTCCTTTCCCAAGATTTCTATTGAAGTAACTTCTTCTTTCCTGGGCTTTCTGATCCAAAGAACAGCGGGACAAATGCTCCTTCTTTACTGACATAAATCCCACTCTTTCAGGTCCAACCACTGGATCAACTAGTTCTGCAAGTGAGTTAATGGATAAGAATTTTAATTATGGTTCCAGCACCACCATCTCAGTTTCTCATTCCTAACTTAGTTCCATTAAATGTACTTTTGCTTTGCTCCCTTTGTCCTAGATTTTTTCAGTCTTCCAACAAGGCTGAATTGTACTTAGTGTCAGCTTTGTGACCAGGGCCCTTTTGCTTCTAGACAGACTTCTACAATACTGATATTTATTTAGATTTCCAAATATTCACTGACCTTGAAGAATGTCCTGATACTAGCCACTCAGCCTATTGAATATAGTCCAATCCTTTGGTTACTGTTCTTCTCCTGGCCGACTAGACTTCCTCCTAGGACTATAAGTTTCTAACCCAGTTTCTTCTTATGCCTTTCCTACTCCATCTGCTTCAGTTCCATATCATCTCAGATCTCTGCTCAATTCACTGCAGTCACTCTACAATCAGTGACAGTCGAAATGGAAAATCCAAGTGGGGAATGAACAGTAAATATATGTGGGCAGGAGCCCTTGAATACCACTCAAATGATACTAGGTACAGCATCTCCTAATCCATAGGTAATTTTGTGAATAAAGCAAATCAAATTAGTATAATTGTCCTGGCTGCTACAGGGAGACCCAGGGGGTTGGCAAAGAAGAAACAGTAAGTTATTATATCTCTCTTTTTGTGTTTTTCCTAGTGATATTTGCTATGAGGAAAACCAATGGACTTATTATTTTTAGATATAGTTTAAACAACCTTATTCAAAGTAGTCAAAAACTGAGTAACACCAAATGTCCACTCATAAAGGCTAATTACATTTGGTCTATTCATACAATGGAATACTATAAGATAATGAAAAATAACACAATACTGTTATATATAATTACATGAATAAATCTTGCAGCCATAATTTGGAGTGAAATAAGCCATCACAAAGGACACATTTTATACAAGTAATGAACTAATAATCTATAGCATTAGATATAAAGATGATAAACTCTAAGTTAGTGACTATAGGGACATAAAGACTTCTTCTGAGTTGGTGGTGGTGCCACATATTTTGATCTAGATTTATGAACTTTTGATAGCTGTATCTGATTTCCAATATATAGAATTTCTTTGGTCTCATTCTCCTTGTTACTGAGACAACAATCATTGCTAAAATTCTACTATATGACAGGTTTCATTTTTTTTTTGACACATTAAAATATTTGCGACCCTTTACAGTCAAGAGAACCAAATGGAGCACTACTCAAATCCCACTTGTATAGCAATAAATAAACTCAAAGAGTTGTTCAGGAGTATTATTAATGGAAGCACAATTACCATCATGTGAGAACAGCATTAACTGTGTCTTTTAATGTTAAAATTCAACATTTTAATTGTTGCCTAAGCCACTTAAGTGGGGAGGGATCTTCACCTTGGTTATATATTTAAATTAAGCAAGATTTCTTGGTATGGAGAAAAAGAACCCTGCATATTTGTTGATCAGAAATGTCAGAAGTGTTTTGTGTGAAAGCAAAGGAGGAACAAAAGGAAACATACAAGTTTTTCCAACCTACATACCTACAGGATGTTTCCTGACCTCTTCTACCTCTCCTTTAAGATTGAAAGCCTCCTTTTTTTTATTATGCATGAGGATAAAAAGAAATTAACATATTCTGTTGTCTGAAAACATTTCCATTAGTACTTCTCTGTCATATTTCAATGCTAATTTTGCAGGATAAAGTAATCTTGGCTGGCAGTTTTTATAGAACTGTGAATATGTCATTCTACTCTCTTTACATTTTGAGTAAATCTGCTGAGAAACCTGATGACAATCTAATTGAGGTGCCTTTATAGATTACATTCGTTTTTCCCTAGCAGCCTTTAATATATTTTCATTATTGTTGACTCTTGATAATTTAATAATGCTGTGTCTTAGTGAAGGTCGTTTTGCATTTACAAATCTGGGTGTTACTTCAGCTTCCTGGACTTGCATATTCAATTCTTTCCTTAGGTTTGGAAGTTCTCGGCATTATGTCTTTGAATAGGCTCTCTGCTCCCCTCTCTCTTTATCTTCTGAAATATCCATCATTCTTATATTTCCTCTTTTCATGAAGTCTGATATTTCTTTATTCTTCCTAAATTTTATTTTTCTTTCTCCTTCCACCTGGGTCATTTGTATCTTCAATTCCAAAATTCTCTCTTCTGACAGTTTAAGTCTATTTAATAAGCTTTAGAAACACTGTCTTCACTTCATTAATGTCTTTTGTGCATGCACTGTTTTTTTTTTTTTAAAGTCTGACCTCTTTAGCAAAGAGTTCTTTTTGTTCTTGGATCTCTTTTCTGAGATCCTATACCTGCCTTTCTGTATTTGCTTGCCCTTGCAGCCCTTCTTTGCTTGTTAGATACTCTGGCTCTATGCACTTTATCAAGGTCTCTGGACTTCCATTTATCTCTTTCAGCTTTTTTAATGTTGTGTTCAGTTGTCCTTGTCTCCTAGGCACACATGTTATTTTGTTTTCTAATCTGGGGCCCTATGTCTTTACTTTTGTATTATTAACTTGGGGGCATGTGAGGGAGGAAAAGATGGTATGCTGGAGTCCAAAGACTTGGTAGCAGTCTGATGGGGAAGGAGAGTTATTCTAGTAAGAGTGATTGGCACTTTCTCTTCTTCCGTTGCCCTTCTCTCTGTCTTGCCCCAACTATGAGTCACCAAACTTGGAGCAAGATATACATGTTTTGGTTCCCTGCTGCTGGCAACAAACTGGTGAGATTTTCTGAGAGCAAACTTTAGTTTTGCTATAGCTGTGTTTCGATGTGATGTTTAACAGAACCTCCCTAGTCCACCACATTGTGGGGAGAGTCTGGAAACATTACCTATACTACCAGCACAAGCAAGGATTCTGATTTTGTTAAGAAAAAAAAAATAGATCTTTCTTCTATTAACAGATCATTTAAAAATGTTCTAATATTAACTTTCCAAGTACATTTATTTATGATTTCAATATTCTACATAAAGCGTGAGGACAAGCTAGTTTAAGCGACTTGTCCATGGTCAGTAAGTGGCTGACAATGCTAGGAAAGGAAACTAGCTGAATGATCATTCTAAAAAGTGTATTACCAATACTCAAATAAGATTTCATCACTTACCAGCTGAAGTTTCTGCAACAATAATGAGAGTTTAACACGAAGATTATTCAGTTTCTCTTCAGTACTTTTTCTTTTTTCTTCACATTGCCCCAGAGATACTTCATTGATCACTGTTTTTCTATCTGCATCATCAGTAATGGACTGCATTTTTCTCTTCAGTTTTGTTTCATACTGGACCATGCAAACATTCTGGATCTGGAAATGTTTTTAAGATATTTTAGATATTTTTTAAATATTATTTTCCTCCCTGACACCAGAAAGCAATTTCATATTCCAATTCTGTACATATGTAACAGTGCCAACTCTAAATTTATGTATGATTGTTGGTCTAAATTTAAGACATGTTGATACTTTTAAGTAACTCACAGTCTGAGGACAAGTACCCAACAGTCCAGTAACTATAATATAAGGGTAAGAGAGGCACTTTGGAATGAAGAAGTAACACAATAATGGTTGAGTGTGTTCTCGCACCAGTGATGCCAGACTATTAAAGGCACAAAGGGGACAAGGTGCCTATGACCTTCTCTCTATCTATAACTACAGGCAATGACAGAGTAGCTGATTGCTTTCTTGGAAGATGATGCCATGTTATTTATAACTCAGGTCTGTAGCATCTCAAAAGCACAGAAGCCAAGTAGAAGGAATTCTTATTCTGTCACTCTCCTCAGGTTCCTTATCCTGCTATAGAGTATGATTATATACTTATGCATATGATCATTGCTAATTCTAGAGACTTGGTTGTCTACCAAGAGCTCATGTTGTGCCTAGGGCAATCACAGAATAGAAAGAGGTAATGGAGAGGTCAAATACTTCAATTTCAGAATGACATTAATTGCTTTTATCAATATTTTGAGAGGTACGGGGAATATTCTGACAAAAGAGATACAGGGCAAATTCTGATTTGATAAATATTTGAGTATTTTTGTACTAAGGAGATTTCTGCATTCTAAATGACTGGGTTGCCAGGAAAATTGAAGTGGCCTCATTTGATTTCCTTATTCCCCCTTCCTCTCCTCCACCACACTCACTAATACATGCAGGCTCTTTACAGACATTACCCACATTATCCCCTTTAAGCATTCATTGACCTCATGAATTTCTCCTTTCTATAATACCCTTTAAACAAAGAACAACAAAAATGATAAAACAAAAAAAAGCCCTAATATAGCAAGCGCTATTTAATAGATATTCATTAACTACCTCTTAAATTCAAGACATTGAACGCAATTGAAGAGATAAAAATATATTTAAATCTTAGTTTTTGCCCTTAAAGAAGCTTCTAATCTACAGAATGAGATAACACACATGTACAAATATCATATTTTACGGTATAGAGAACAAGTAAGGCACAGAAATTATTAGACTTGAGAGGAAGGTATGAATTCTCCATTAAACTAAATAGCTTCAAACTCTTGGCTTGGATTTAAGTCGGTATCTTATCTACCAATTATTTATACTTTTCATCTGCTATTAATTATGAAGTATCTGGGTAAAGGACCCAAATACCACACCACTGACCACCGACCCCCCCGCCACCCACACACACACACACACACACACACACACACTGCTGTCTTTAAAGGTGAGCCGAATTGTGAAGTTTGTAGATTACTATATGAACATTTTTTTTAAAGATTTATTTATTTATACAAGCACTGGGTACAGTCAGAAGCACGGGAGGGTGAGAGAATTCACCAGAGCTCGAGCGGAGAGCAGAACAGGCAGAAGGACCAAAATACACTGCTGAGGGGAGCAGTGGGCAGCAGGAGAGGTCTGCGCGCCATGTGGGACCCTCGCCCAGTGTCTGGGGATCGAACCGGCGCTGCAGAGGCTGCAGACAGCTTCGCAACCCAGTGTTCAACTGCTGCACCACCAGGGGAGGCCCCACTATATGAACATTTATCTATTTTTAAAGTCTTAAACTGCCTGGAAGCTTGTGTGAGGCACCAGGAATTAGACTCTAAAATTGTTGGTCTGGTTATGCTTTATCTTTCCTAATTTTCAGAGTTCTAGGCCTCACTCTTCAGGAGTATACACCAGATTCATTTCTGCCTCAAGCCCTTCATCCTTATTGCTTTCCCTTATCAGTAAATTCAACCCCAGATCTATATAAATCCAATCCTTGCCTCAGTTCTGTGTTGAAAGAAGGCTCAGTTATTCCTTGCTTACTGTAGCTGAAGTAGACCCCCCTTCCTAACACACATTTTATAGCAGTTACCTTATGTATTATTTGTTTATTATCTATGATTATGTTATATTATGTATTATTTATGTGCTATCTGTCTCTCCTTCAAAATGCAATCTCATTGTAAAAAAAAAAAAAGAAGTAAGATTTGTGCTCTCTGGATTTCCAATGTCTAGTACAGTTAGCTCTAAGCAGGAGGCAATTAAGAGAACAGATGTGCAGCTTTCACAACAAGGGAATTTCAGACACATGGGCCAATCCTAACCTGAAGTCCAGGTTACATTCTAAGAGCTTGGAGGGTAATTCACTGTTGAACATCGCTAATTCAACCCACAAGAATCTGATGACTTACGGCTAAAGCTACCTACTTCAGGAAGCTTTAATAGATACTTCCTGTGGAGGTGTCAGTGAAACCCAGGGTGTGAATTCGCCCATGATCTGAAATGGAGTAGGGTAAATAAGTGAACACATCTGGAATCAGGACAGGATCACAGATAGTTCAGGTGTCACCAGAGTTCAGTTCAGAACACTAAAATTCTACCGCTTTTGACATCCTGAACAACAGCAAGGAAACCTTTAAAAAAAAAAAAATGAAGAAAAGGCAACCATAAAATAAGCCAAATCAATACAATTTAAGAAATATAAAATAGGTTCCTCCCTGGTGGCACAAGGGGTTAAGCATAGCAATGTGAAGCTAACCACAGCCTCTGGAGCATGAGTTCAATCCCTGACCAGCCAGGGAGCTACCCACATGATGTAGCAGACCTCTCCTGCCTTGCCTGCTGCTCCCCTCAGCAGTGTATTTCAGTGGATCTGTATGTTCTGTTCCCCATGTTCTGTACCCCAGTTCTTACTGCATAAATAAATAAATCTTTAAAAAAATACAAAATATTCAAAGCAACAAGATTTGGAAAAACAACAGTTTTGGGCACATCAGCAATAAAAAGGAATATACTACTGATAACACTTGAATGGAGTAAAAGGGTCTTACATAAACAGAGTAATACTATATCATTCCACTACTATAGCATTCTTGAATGATAAAATGATAGAGATGGAGAACACGTTAGTGGTTTCCAGGGTTTAGAATGTTTCTGTGTATGGAGTAACACGAGGGAGATCTCTGTGATGATGGAAGTTCTGTAACCTTATTTTGGTGGTGGTTATACAAATGTAAAGATATGTCAAAAAGAGACGTAAGTTCTATCAATTTTAATTTCATAGTTTTTAATTTCATAGATATATAATTATGTAACATGTAAGCACTGGGGAAAATTGGGTGAAGGATACATGGGACCTATTATTTTATAAATTCTTGTGATTCTATAATTCTCAAAATAAGAAGTTCAAAAGACAACATTAATAAAGCATGAAGTTAAAAATGCTTACATAGCACACTACATTCAAAATCATATTCAGTCTCTCAAAGTTCACTATTTTGTAACCAGCAAACTATATTTCCTTCAACACTACCAGTTTTCTGACTTATTTTCTTTTCTCAGGCTAATACCTTCAGGTGTCTATAAAAGAGAGCAATTTTGACAACTTTTAAAGCTCAATGTAAAAGAATTTCGAATTGTATTAACATTTTAATTAATGTGAGTAGAGAATTATAACAAGATGAGAGGCTTAGTTCTGCTGGTTAAACCTACTCTTGTAGAAGTTATTTGTGGCAGATCAAAAATGGTATTCTTCCCAAACTCCATTAATTCAGGACAAAATTAGAATTTGAAAGAAAGGGTACTCAACTGAGATTTTAATTTTCTGCCTTGAATTTTAAAGTTGGAGCTCTAGCAGAATCCTAACAAGTTTGTATAAAGTGAGGCAGGCCTATGAGATCTAGAGATTTTGTACCCTGCTGATAGGGGTATGCAAGTGAGTGCTTCCGTGGGGAGCACTCTAGCAGAAACTGTCACCTTTGGTTCAATGCACAAACAGAAGATTCAGATGCATTACAAGACACTGACACCGCTTAGACACAAAGATTGATGAGAGGATTATTAACTTCTATGATTCTATAACATAACTGAAGGAAAAATAAAAGAAAACAACTATGATACATGGAAAATAAGAGTTTTAAGATTCTCTCAGAACACAGAAAGGTCAAGGTTAATTTCTCATGGAGGGGCTGAGAAAAAGTTGATATAGAAGACAGCACTGGCCAGGCGTGGCATCAGGTGGGGGCGATTTCAGGAGGCCGACTGTGGATAAGGAGAGTGGTTAAGAGAGTTCTGAGGGAAGCTCAGAATTCTGAGGAAGGGCTCAAAGGCAGAATAATTTAGGTAGGTCAGTACAACTCCAATTTGGATGGTGTGGGTAGCTTATGAAAGGAAAGAAAAAAAGATGGTAGTTCGCGTCTTGCTGAATGTGACTGCCAATGCTGCTGCAACTCGCCTATTACTCTGTCATAACCAACAGGTGGTCATGAAAACCACATGTGTGGTTGCACAGGGAGGAGGGGAAGGGGTCTGTGACTCATGAAGTGTTCTTCTGGACTCTGATGTGATTCTCTCAATTAAAAGCATACAGCTTAAATAAAGTTTATACATTTGTCTTTTACATGGATTTCAAGAAATAATCTGAATAGCTTTGATGACCATCCACCTAACGTTATCACCACTAAAATCCTTAAGACTGAGCAGGTGCATTGTTGGGGAAGTGATGATTCCAATTGTGCTGAGCTTCGCCTGTAACTGTTTCAGCAGCAACATATGGTCTCTGGGATGTTTTATCTTCCTTTGATTGCTTGAATTCTACTTGCCTGGACCTTATGGGAATTCCACTCCTATGTACTAACACTCCCCACCCTGCATAGACACTTACCTTCCTCAGTCTGGCCTCCAAGACTCAATAGCCTGGTTCTGTTACTGACAGTGTCACATTGAAAAAAAAAATCACTTAGACATGAAAGGACATATATAAGCATGGGTAAAAGGAGATGTAGGACAATCTAAATTCTTAGTAAAGTTCTAAGTTTTACAGTGCAAGCATTTAACCAGAGTTTCCTCATCAGCAGATGAAGATTTGTGGGAAGATCTAGGAGCCTTACTAAATTTTTCAAGCTGCCTGCCACAGACTTTCAGTTGAGACATTTCCCAGTGGGTCACTAAGCAACCTGCCTACCACACCCCACCCCATATTTCATTGTCAGCATCTCTCTCTCTTTCTCTCTCTCTCTTTATTTATATATATATATATATATATATATAAAATCTCCATATCAACATATATATCTCAACATGTAATGTCAAGGCCTATAGTAAAAAGTAATACCTTTATACCAACAGGCTGAAAAGCTGTACTGTAGTAAACTTATTACGAGGAGTAGGTGGAAACTATCACAGACATGAAGTTTTGCATTCTGGGTTAGGAATTAGAAGGATGGCAATAGTATAGTGAAAAAAGCTTTGAACAATTCTGAGTCCAGTACCGAGTCTGCAACTTTTTTGCATCATAACATGGGATCATTTTCTTTCTGAACCTCCATTTCTTCATTACTAAGATGGATAAAGACACCAAACCCCACAGTGGTTATGACAGTTAAGTAAGGTGACGTACATGAAAGGCCTACTTTGGTGCCTGACTCTAATAGCTCTCAATCAATCAGTTTTACATTAGCTAATAAAAATAAAATTAGTGCTAAAATAGGGCCAATGTATACGGAAAGTAAACTTTACCTTTTACTCTAGTTAGGAAATGTTGACAAGTCTTCAAGTTTAAAATGTTCAATTACTGCTTTTTCAACAAAACATTATTCAGAAAATAAACTTACATTTCAGTTGAACAGTGATGGAAAACTAAGAACCCACAGTTGAAGGCCAGTCAGAAAGATCACAGGTAAATGTATCACCACAAGTGTTAAATTCAGGTACAATCTAAAACTGGAATACTATGTGATACAGTTTTTGTAAGGAGGAATCTGGTTAAGGTTCTAATTTTCATCTTTAGTTTGCCTAGTCATATATCTTTTGGGAATTTGTGATTCTATTTTACTTACAAAACAAGAATATTTGAATGTATGCCATTCCCTCCAGAAGAGATGAGGCAGTGACTCTATTTATAGTTGTGCTTTTGCACAACTCTAGGGGGGTACCATTCACCTCCCAGTCTTTGTAGATTGATGTGTCACGGCGATAGCTTTCCAGGAGATATGCTGGTGTATGTGCCATTGATGGAGCTGATATACAGTTTGGGCAAATACAGGGAAGATGAAGGTGAGGACCCAGCATCTCAATATTGATCCTGATGACCTGAAAGTTCTAGATGGTTGCAGCCTCTGTGATGAGTTTGAGAACCTCATGACCATTTGGCTCCAACACTAAGCTTATGTCAGCTTGGAAGTCTCTGTCTCGCTTCCTTGAATGTGAAATAGGGAGTTGCATTTGATGAGTATATGTTAATGAGTGTTATTTCTTCTTGAAGTATTGTCCCCTTGATCATAATGTAGTGACCGCTGGGGTCTCTTTTTACCTTTTTGAGTTTGAAATCTGTTTTATCTGATATAAGTATAGCTGTTCCTGCTTTCTTTTTTGGTCCATTTGCTTGTAAAGGAACACTCCTGCACTGCTGGTGGGAGTGCAAAATGGTCCAACCACTATGGAGAGCTATGTGGAGATTTCTTGACCTACTAAAGACAGAGCTTCCATATGATCCAGCAATTCCACTCTTAGGTATTTAGCCAAAGGACACAGAAACATCAATTCCAAAGGGCACCTGCACGCCTATGTTTATAGCAGCACTATTTACAATAGCTAAGCTATGGAAACAACCCAAATGCCCAAAAATAGATGACTGGATCAAGAAAATGTGGTACATATACACCATGGAATATTACTCAGTATTCAAAAAAGATGAACACATGCAATTTGCAGCAACATGGATGGCACTGGAAGGGATCATGCTCAGCAAAATAAGCCAGAAAGAAAAAGAAAAATACTGGATGGTCCCACTCATAGCAGTAATTTAGAAAACTTAAATAAGGGACCAAGAAAAAGACTAATCAATACAAAGTAAAAATCAAAATCAACAAGCAACTATAAACCACAGACACACTATAGGGCGGGAGGGAGGGGCAAAGAGAGGAAGGACTAGTCAAAATAAGGGGAGGGGGTGCAATTGTATGGGGAATATAACCATAATGAAAATGCATACATTGTGCAAAGATGAAAAATGATGTAAGAATTATATAAAATAAACTATTAAAAAAACAGGGAGTTGCAAGCATTTCAGTTTTTGAGATATTTTTCTAGTAGAGCTAAAAAACTCTATGGACATTTTCCCTCAGGAAAGCTTTGAGAACTAGACACACAGCATTATTTGAAGACTATAAGAAACAACTCTATAATGGAAGAAATGTTGTAATGAACTATACCAAGTCATTAAAACTAGTGATCTTGGAAGAGTTTGGGACTACAGACACAATTCTTTTTACTTTCACTTATTAACAATCATTTTTATAACTACTTATATTATGAAAAAAATCAGAAAGTTAAAAAACTATTGATAGATTAATTTTAAAAAGCAGAATGATATAGAACTGTCGAAAATAATTAAAAATCTTAATCTAAGAATGATTTCTGGTTTAAAAATCTAGTGTCTCAAGGATTCAGTGAATCTACTTCTTAAAGACTCAGAATGTCATGTTTCCTATTCAAAACATAGTCCCACTCCAAGTGTTTCATAAGCTTTATTACTGCAGAAACATTTGCATTTTAAAATTCAAAAAGATGTTGCTTTGTGACATCTGATATGCTACACATTAATCTAAGTCCTGAAAAGTGAATGCAAATTTGATTTCCTTCCAAGCCTAACATTTGGAAATATATATTATTTCCCCTTTGGAATACAAGATCATTTAGAATATAAATGACTAAACTGAAAGGACGCTTACCTGGTTGAAGCACAATTTCAGCCTTTTGTTTGTCTGCTCTGGGTATTGTTCCAGCTGTTTTTTACAAATGATAATAGAACAGGATATTAACTTTTAGAAAATGAGCTGTCTACAACAGAGTTATAATATGCAAGTATCTAGCATAAAAACACATCAAACCAGAAATGGGCAAGAGTGGTACTCTGAGTCTTTTAAGCCTGGGTCTAATTAAATTAATTAACTAATGTACATTGCAGAAAAGATTAAGGCATCTTAATAATTAATACAGTGAGGTTTAAAAAATATGTAGATGGATGAAAAACATCATAGTAAAGTAAAAATAAATGATGATAAATTTTCAAGAGGATGTCAAGAAGGTCAGTTGGAGCCTGGACTTCTGGATGGGAATTCTGGAGAAATAGGCTGTGAAGTCTGTCATATGGAATAGTATTAAAAATCAGAGACTAGATGAGGTCACTTAGAATCATCATTTAATAGAGTATTCCAGGAATGGGCCCTCAGACATGCCAGATTTAAAAACCAAATAGAGGGCCTCCCCAATGGCGCAGGGGTTGAGCGCTGGGTTGCCAAGCTGCCCGCATCCTCTGCGGTGCCAGTTCGATCCCTGGCTGCTCCCCGGCCACGGAGGAGGGTCCCACATGGCGCGCAGACCTCTCCTGCTGCTCCCCTCAGCAGTGTACTTCAGTCCTTCTGCCTGCTCTGCTCCCCGCTCTGGCTCTGGTGAATTCTCTCACCCTCCTGCGCTTCTGACTGTACCCAGTGCTTGTATAAATAAATAATTAAATAAATCTTTAAAAAAAAAGACTTTAAAAATTAAAAAAATAATAAAATAAAAAAGGAGTTGCTAGCAAAAAGAGGATGGGGGAAGAAAACAAAGGAGGGGAAAGTGTGTTGTCATGGAAACCACACAACAAAAGTGCTTCAGGCAAGAAAGAGTGGTCAGAAGGTTGATGGTATCCAAGCACCAGGGGAGATGAGTGACCACTGCATTTGTCAGCACAGTGGCTGCTGGTGGTCACACAAGACAGTCCCAGGAAGCAGTGGAGTTGGAAGCCCAATGGAAGAGGATTAGGTGGGAAGCAGAAATCGTGGAAATAATGTAGATGAAAAAATTAAGGATTTCACCCAGGATGAAATTATAGCATATGACAATGCTGTCAATTTGTTATCTGCAGTTCTTCTCACTGCTAGCCTTTCCATCCTTTCCATAAGCAGCACTAAGAATGAAGGTGAAGAAGGAGGCCTCTCATCCTTTATACTTCACAGGCTCTGCTCTTTCATGCTGAGAGCAACAAGGGGGGTCTCACGTCTGCAGATCTAACTTAGTTGAGCTACAGCCTGCAGGTGACTTAGTAGCTTGGGGACTCCTGTTGTTGGCTGTGTGAGACTCACCCGAAGTGCCCTAGGTAGCTAATCAGTTTCCCTTCTAATCATCCATGGGTCCTATCTGTGAGAGGTGATTTGGTATTTACCAAATTGTATTTACAATTTTCTTCATCTTTCCAGTGATGTCTTTTAGTGACTCTAGTAAGACAAGAGCCCTGGGCACCTAACATGGTGTCAGTCCTCACCCTAGCTAAGAAAGTGTATTGAAGGCATAGAAACTCTATCTTTGGTGTAAGGAAGGGAAGTGAGGGACTATGTTCCATTTCTTTTGTTCTCTGCAAATGACTCGTCTGTCTGTAAATCTCCCCAAAGTTTATTTAAACCTTTAGCCACACTTTTAAATGCATCTTTAATTCTGAGCCATTCATTTGGAATAATGACCCCTGTCTTCATTAACTTAAACCACTGGAGGTCTTCTCACTGCTTATACTACATTTTTCTCCACTGACAATTAAATTCAGGTTATTTTCTCATTCTCCCAGAATTCAAAAAAAGTCAGCTTACCTCAGGACTTGCTGTAAGTTTCTCCCCAGATGTGTAGTCAAATTCTGGTGGTAGTTCATACTCAGGGAAGAAGTACAGAAGAATCTCCCTAGGAATATAAGCAGAGCAGAGCTGGTAACCTACTGGGAAAAGAGATGCCACATTCACCTCTCAAAACTAGCCCTGTCTCGTAGGTATAAATATTTTGGAAAACATGAATGTTAATATCTGAAAAATAATCTGTTTTTACCATTGACATCAAAGAGTTCTTCAAAGCATAGACTGGGGGAGAGAGTGGTGGCAACAAACAGACAACAGAAGGAATCCTCCTGCTGATGGAACTGTTATATGACTTGACTGCATTGATGCTAACATCCTAATTGTGATACTGATCTGTAAATTTGCAAGACATTTCCATTGGGAGAAGCTGGGTAAAAGGAGCTCTCACTCTACTATTTCTTACAACTTCATGTCAATCTCTTCAAACTTATTTCTGGTAGCTTTAGAATTTAAGATAACACAAAATATATTTGTACTTTTACAGAGTTAAAATATATGAAGTAAAATTAATCTCTACATGCCTCAATTTTCTCATCTATAAAATGGGGAAAATAAAAATATCTATTTTTAGGGTTGTTATAAGGTTTATGAGTTAAAATATGTGAAGTCCTTCAACAAGTACCTGCCACCACATAGTAAGAGTACAATACAAATACTATTATCACTACTACTATTATTATTATTGGACACAATTTAGATCTGATACCACTCCAACAAATACGACCATCTGATGAAACTGATGAGTGTGGATCTCGATTTAGCTTATTTAGCTCTAATGTAAAATAACTTAGTAGCCCCCCATTATTTGAGAATATATTTAACATCCAGCAATACTATTCACTGCTTTGAAACACTAATCCCTTTCAATTGAAAGTATTCCTTGAATATCTACTAACATATATCAAACACAGTACAGAAAATCCAATATATTTCCATAAAATACTGCATTTAGGGATTAAATATATTAATACACACAAAATAAAAAAAAATATAAAACAGAAAACTGAACATAACAAATGATGAAAACAGACAATGAATGCTACAAATATTTATTAATTTATTTTGTTAACATGAATTAAGCAGAGGTAGGCTGATTTTTCTTTGACAGTGTGGGAAAGGATAAGGATGATGTGAGGAGAGATTCCACATACTCTACATGTCTTGAGCTACTCTGCCAACAAGGCAAATCTGGTGAAATACAAAACTGTGACTGAATAGAACATGAGGCCTCCACATTGACACGCAGTTAGCCATAATGTTGTGCCTTGAGGAATTAAAATCTAGTTAACATGAGGGAACATGTGGGCTAGTATAGAATAGTACAGCACAGGGAAAAATTATAACAAAGAAGACAAGAAATCTGTTTATATGGATGACATGTGAGAAAATGCATTACATGCTGCTAAAGGCCTAAGAAAAAAATTGGTAAATGAGGCGCTTGTTTTGTTCAGCTGTGTGCTCTGCTTGATCCTGTTTCCACTGAATATCTTTTAACAAAAAAAAAAAAAATCACAAAAATATTAAGCTGGTACAGATAAGAGCTGATGTCTGATTTATTAATACATTTGTTTTTCAGAGTGCTCAGTTGATAATAGTACGATGATTTCAAGCACTAAAGATTTTACATGTTTTTTAGGGGTACAGTTTCTGGGAAATTTTAATTTTCAATTGATGTCAAATTATAAAAGTAGATGAACTTTAATGTCTTAGTACATTCTATCAGATTGTCCCCTTTGAGCACATGACTCATTAAAATTAATAGCAGTGATACACTTAAGATGCAGAACAAAAATTAGCCAAGAAAAAAAGTAATGAAAATAATGGTTCACAGTGGTGCATCCAAATTCTGCAACATACCCATACAGCTCTCTGCAGGTGTCACAATATGGAGAGGGGGAAAGTGTGTATATGTGTGCATAAGTATACATATGTGTGAGCATGTGTATATATTCTTGGATATTCTTACCTTTATATTTAATGGTAGTTAACAGCATAAATTTTAAGGAACTTAAACTAAGTAAAGGAAGTTAATCACATAGTAAGAGTATAATACAAATTAAACTAAGTTAAAGAAGTTAAACTAAGTTCCTTAAACTAAGTAACTCAGACTAACTAAGCACTGTCCATACCAGTTATGTAACTGAAATTAAGCTTCTGTTCCTTATCCCATTAAAATTAAAAAATTAAAAATGATACTAATCTTATAGGGAGCTAGTAACTACAAAGCCATTGAGTGAATCCCTAAAAAAAAGCAACAATGGTTCAAAAATGACAGTTATTACAATCAAAGGGCTGGTTCACTTGAAACAAAAACCCAATCACAGGACAAACTGGTCATTGTACAATTTCAGTGATATTCACATATTCATTTAGATATATACAGGCGCATGCATATGTATCTCACTGTAGGCGACCAAATCTTAGTGATGAATTGCCATAAATGAATTTTAAAACTAGTATGTAACAAACCAGGAATCAAATTTATAGCTACACAAGTTTAATGCTGAATAAGTAATAAGACAAGAAACTGATGGGAGAATCCTTTTCTTAAGGGATTATCCCATGTAGCATGAGACTGATATCCATCTATATCATTGGACAAGAGACTGTTTTCAACTTTTATTATCTGCAGAACACTGAGATCTAGCCTGCTTTTGTTCTATTCCAGGTGAATGTGAGTTTGCTAACCCACGCTCTATAGCAAATTTGGTGATTAAAACTTAGTGTTCAGAAAAGCAGGACTGTGCCTTCATATCTCAGTCAACAACTTATGTCTGGATCCCTTGTATCATTAGTGAGGTGTGTCCTGATGCAAAGGGCAAGAGGATACATCCACATATAATCAAGAATGTTTCCTCCTTCCTCCTGGAGCAGGGTGAGTAGAGTCGAGTGTTGTTCTGAAAAGATAGTAGTTTGGACCTTCAGCACATGTAAACTTAGCTCCACAGCCCTGCTGGCTGGCACAAAATTTCTATTAAGCCTACAGCAGCTGAAGAATTGAGTCCATGACTTATAAAACAGCATTCTCCACTGACACACAGAACCACAGCTGGACCTGAGTAACTCCCTATATATACCCCATCTCACTTTTCCCTGTTGCAACCTGCTTCTACTCTTTGCCAACTCTCTTCTTCAAGAAGGTTTTACTACTCACTGTCCAGAAAGTCAATTCTCCAAAAGAAAGTACTATTCCAGTTAGGACATGTATATTTTTGTTGGTCTAGAGACTTTATCTCATAGAGGTCCCTTATAGCCTGTGAACCCCAAACAAATCAATCATCTGCACTAATTAGTGGTGTTACTGCTCCTGCTCCCACCCTATGCTGCCTCTTTGTAGGTGCTCTTCCGTATGCCAGCTTCTTTGGCTTGATCACACAGCCCCTCCTATCATTGGTCTCTGCACAAACCAAATCTTGTGCCTTCCCTCCTCCATTCTCCTTTGAGGACTATAATCTAGACATCTGAATTCCTCAGTACCTAGAAATGTTATCACAATACACTGAACAAAAAAGTAAAATTCCCTCAACAAGTTCACTAGGACTATTAAAAAGAGACATTTTAGAAAGCCAAACAAAAAGCATGACAGTTTTTGTGAGAAAAAAAATGAAAACATAAGAAACATGGCAAACAACAGTAGTTCTTCATCACATCTGAGGAGGAAGACTACATCCGCCATATTTCTGGTCTTGGCAGCCACAGGCAGTTAGTAACTGAAATTCTGTTTCAAGGAACATTTAACATATGGTATACCTAAATCAGTGTAGTTAGGAGAGCATTCTCAAGAATACTACCAGCGGGCCTCCTTGGTGGCACAGTGGTTGAGCGCTGGGCTACGAAGCTGCCCGCAGCCTCTGCAGTGTGGCCGCCAGGTGAGGGTCCCACATGGCACGCAGAACTCTCCTGCCACCCGCTGCTCCCCTCAGCAGTGTACTTCGTCCGTCTGCCTGCTCTGCTCTGCTCCCCGCTCTGGCTCTGGTGAATTCTCTCACCCTTCTGTGCTTCTGACTATACCCAGTGCTTGTATAAATAAATAAATCTTTAAAATAAATAAATAAATAAAAAAGAATACTACCAGCACTCAATAGAGGGAAAATTTCAAAAGTTGTCACTGCTTAGATTTTTCAACAAAGCATACAGAAATATGATAGTATCTTTACCTTAGAATAGACATCAGTTTTTTCACAGTTTCCTTGACAGATGTGCTTTGTGAAGACTCTGTCAGTGAAGAAGAAACTTCACAACTACCATTCACAGAAACTCTGACTTTGTTTCCAGAACTTGTATTTAAATCTTCTGTCAGCACACTAGGCAAAAACAAGCAGAAGTTTATAGTTTCAAAATAGGAATTGCATTAGACAGTAATAAATTCAGAAACATTAAGATGTAATGAATGAAAGGACATAAACATAAGCTGAAATTTTTCATTTATGTAGTTATATAAAATCAATTCTTAGTTAAGAGAATTACTGTTTTTTCCGACGAATCTTGTTTCAAGCTTTTGGAATAGTCACAATTAAATAGAATTGGTGGTAGTTTATTTTGAACAATAGTAGCCTTATACAATTTATCTCTTACTTGCTGAAAGAGGCTTTTAAATTAAGTTCTGTTTTAGCCTGGAAGGAGGTATATACAGAAGTAAAACAAAAAGGAGACCAGGTCAGTGGAAAGAAACATTTAGTCAAGATCAGAAGGAAGAAAAGAAGTGTGGGAAGAAGAATGATCCAGAGCTAGAAACAGGCCTGCTGGAAAAACACAAGGGAAGAGTAAGGAGAAACCGGGATGGGGGGTGGTTGGGAGGGGGAATAGGAGCGGGGCGGAATAGGGAGGAAACTAGGCTTTTTTCTAAGCAGAGTGGGCACTACCACTGGAGGATTTCTTGCAAGACAGTTTGGTTATCTGATAAGTGTTTTAAAGGGAAAGCTGTCTACAACATGGAAAGCAGCTCACAGCGAGGATGCATAAAATAGTGTAATGTGTTAGCGATCCAAAGCTCCCAGTATCTGGAAACAAAAAGTACAAGGGGACTGAGGGACAAGCAATATGGGAGATGAAACTGGGTACTGGGCAGGTAGGGGTCAGATCATGCAAGGTTTTATTGCATGAAGAAATTTTTGTAATCTCTTTATGCTACCACCCACAAATTAAAATCACAAGTCTATAGAGTTTTGCATGTTTGTACAGTATGGGCCTTTTAAAAATTGGACAACAGTTTCTATCAAATGGAATGAGTTGTTACTCTAAACATTTCTTTGATATTAATTTTACTAACTTCAGCTGATATCGTATTTGAGATTAAGAACATTATAACTAATACTTAGATGTCTATTAAAATATACAATACCTGAATGCCTACTAATTGTAACCTTTTCTATGTTGAGATTTTATTATGTAGGTTCTTTTTTTTTTTGTCTTTTACCACTTTAAGGATGCTGGAAAATCATATTTATGTTGGGGCGGAGGGTAAAATGCACTACAACTGAACACTGAGGAGTCCTCTCGTTATGCTCAAGAAACGAGTCCTCTCGTTTCTTCTATTGCCAAATAATGATAGTGCCCACCTCAAAAACCTGTGCTGAAGGTTAAACAATATGTACAAAGAATTTAGCTCAATACCTAGTTAGTGCTCAGTAAATGGTGCCTAATTATTGCTGTTATTATCACCTTTATTGTCATTACCATTAGAAGGAATTTGACAACTCTTCCATTCAAACTGTTTTAATTGGATTATAATTTTAACTTTGGTATTGAAGTTATTAGTTAAAGATGATTATAAAAACCCACATCCAACCTCATAAACACCTAAAACTAATATATGAAATAACATACAAATACACATACTCATACATAGAAACAAAAACACAAAAAACACAAATGTGTTTCAGTTTTTGGATGGTCTTTAAATATCGAATCAAAATTTAATAACTCTAGGTTAAAGTATCATGCATGAAATGGCCTAGCAACAGCACATAATTTATTCAATCAACAAACATAGAGTCCCAATCCTGAGCTAGGTGCTATTGTGGACCCTGGGGATGCAACAGTGAGCAAGAAAGCCCTTGCACTTGTGGAGTGAGTTAGCATCTAGTGGAAATAAGGAAAATAAGCAAATTAGAATGTAAAATGTTACAAGAAATTGATGATTGAACAAGATATACCTTAAAAGAGTAATTAGTGCTCTGAAAAAAATAAAACATGATATGATTGATAGCATGCCTCTTCAGAAATGGAACAGGCTATTTTAAGAGGGAATGATCAGGGAAGACCTTTCAAAGACTTAGAGTAAGGAAGAAGATATGGCCCCTATTCCTTTTTTTTTTTAAATAAATTTTATTTTTATATTCTCCATACAATTGCAACCCCCTTATTTTGACCCCAATCCCTCCCCTCCCCACCCTCCACCCCCCATAGAGTGTCTCTGGTTCATAGTTGTTTGTTGATTTTGATTTTCACTTTCTTATAGTTATTCATTTTCCTGGTCCCTTATTTAAGTTTTCTAGATTCCTGCTATGAGTGAGACCATCCGATATTTTTCTTTTTCTTTCTGGCTTATTTCGCTGAGCATGATACCTTCCAGTGCCATCCACGTTGCTGCAAATTGCATGTGTTTATCTTTTTTGAATGCTGAGTAATATTCCATGGTGTATATGTACCACATCTTCTTGATCCAGTCATCTATTTTTGGGCATTTGGGTTGTTTCCAAAGCTTAGCTATTGTAAACAGTGCTGCTATAAACATAGGGGTGCAGGTGCTCTTTGGAACTGATGTTTCTGTGTCCTTTGGGTGTGGAGAAAAAGGAACTCTCCTGCACTATTGGTGGGAGTGCAAACTGGTCCAACCACTATGGAGAGCTGTGTGGAGATTCCCAGCAATTCCACTCCTAGGTATTTACCCAAAGGACACAGAAATATGGCCCCTATTCTTAATAAAGGTTATGCTCAAAGGGAAGACACAATCATGCAGGCAATTCCACTTGACTATGAGCCCTATTCACTACTGTATGTTAGAACCTAGTTGCATTTAACATTATTGAGGCTAATGAATTATGATGCAATCTGATCACTGCACAGTGGTTCTGTGAATATCTGAATTTGCCTGACGGAGTCAGGGGGCCCCCAGAGGAGAGAACATTTGAACTGAGACTTGAGTTAAAAGACAATATACTGTTGTACAAGTTACAGCAGGCATTTGAGCAAAGGAAGTGGTGTGGACAAAGAGGTGTAAGTATGTGATAAAATAGAACTATAAGAATTTTCAAACTCTGGGAAGCAAAGTGGGGAATAAGGAAAAAGACAGGATGAAAGAGGACTGATGTCAAGCTAAGAAGTTTGTAACTTACCTTTATGAAAGCTATGACTATGAAAAACTGCTGAGTAAAAGTGTGAAGTGATGCAATTTATGTGTCAGAGTGACTACTCTGTCAACAAATGCAGGAAAATAAAAGCTTCAGTCTATTTTTCTTGCAATTAATTCAATATGCTCCTATGCAAAGAACACAGAATTCGCATTCAGAGACACTGGGTCTCGATGCCTGCAAAGCAGCTTAGATATGACTGTAGTCGAGTGAGGATAAAAGTTTGCTTCTTTAAAAACATTCTTTTCATTCTATTGGGTATCCAAAATATTCATATGATTCTATTTTAAAGTGACAAAAGTCATGTCAAGAATTCTAGTGTGCAATGATTAGTAAAATTACATATATGTATGACAATAAGATTATCAGCTGCAAAAAAAAATTCATGATTTCATAATCATGGTCATATGTGACATTTTCATCTCTTTGACTATATTACAGTTATTTGAATTAGTCACTTGCTGTGAGTTAAGCCTGTTCTGTTTTATTATGCCCAAAAACTCATAAAAGAAAGTGAAAAGACTTGAGGAAAAGGTAAGAAACCGAATGTATTATAGTGTTCTTGTCTGCTTGGTAAAATTTAGCTCCAATATTAATTGCCTTTGCTTGTTGCTACTATTTTCTTCCTTCTTGTATTTAAACATTGATAATTACTTTTCAACAGTATAATTGCATTCATTTGAAATCTGTATAATTGCAATACACTCACCTTTCCCAGTTAGGTAGTGAAGAGTTTCTCTTTATTTCTGCAGTATCACCGCACAGCTCCTGTTTTTCTTCAAAAGAACACAGACAAAATGAAGACAACCACATTGTGATGGTCACACAATAAAGTGAACTGAAAAAAATGTTAGCAGTTCATTAGCTACTTGTACATTTCAATATCCTTTTGTAAACTTGTGGTGATATGTTTTTAGGGCAATTTATTATAACCCTTTAGTAAAATGTGTGCAGTAATCTAAGTACCTCTACAACTTCTTGGAATTTTTTTTAACAATGCTTATTGTCTGCTATTGGTGGGCATGAGATGACTGATGAGACCATTATGACCGCCTCTCACCAGGCTCATTCCAGACAAATAGCTGTCTTTCCTCTAATATCTTCTTCCATGTTAGGTTCAGAAGCAAAGATCCTGACAGATCCCAATCAGAAATGTGTCTCTGGTAGAGAGTCAAACTTTAACACAAGGTTAGTCCTAGCATTATCTAGTCAGTCTTCTCACTCATGGAACCTCAGAACTGGAGGTTGAGAGAGGCTAGTGATTTGTCTACAGTGAAAAGAACTGTTTTGATTCCCCACGGATTGGTTTGAAGAATTTCTTAACAACAGTATAACCAATAAGTCAATGTGTCCTTTATCTATCTCCCTGCTCATGTCTAGAAGGAGTAAAGTCATGTCAATGCAAGCAGGCACATTCTTTGTCGGAACTGTCCAAATACCTTGTTCTACCAAGGAAACGAGTTTAGGGTTGCCAACAAGTTTAGGGTCATTGGAGGCCAAGAGGAATGGTACAGGAACAAGGAAGATTTTAGATGGTGAATAATGGCTTGACTCTTTTCAGAAAATAAAAAAGGGAATAGAAGAAAAACAATTTCTAAGCACATTGCAGGTACTATTGGTTTTACTCACTAAGTTGCATATAAAGCGAAAATTTTTTAACCCAAGAGCCAATTAACCAATAATTACAATCATTTGAAAATATTTCACAATTCAGACCTTATAAATACTGGATGAATATTTGACATTAAATATAACTTCTAGGTTCAAAACTGTATTAACTTTTTTTTTATTAGACTTTGGAAATCTAACAGGTGCATACTTGAAGGCAGGTTAATAGTTTGAAACTTCTGTAAAATATTGGCTTTAAAATTAAGAGACTTAGAAAAGAAATCTTGATTGTGGAATTGCAAATTATCCTAATTAAGGTGAAAAAGAAAAAGCGTGGTTTCTTTGGGACCTTACTAATGGGTTTAAATATAAAGATGTGAATGAATAATTAAGTTACCTAAGCTAAGCAACAAAATATAAAGAAAGGGAGAGCTTACACCAAAAGTGAATATAAGATGATGGCTGGATCTATGCATTCAGGAATGTAAAGGGTGAAGCCAAAATGGGCTGAGACTTGCTAAGGAAGCTAAGATAGACTTTAAAATTTATTTCAGAACAAGAAGACGGCAATGAAAGACTTACTGCTTAGGTCTAGAAGTATAATATTAAAAGAGAGAATGGTATAATAGTAATATAAAATGTAACAAAAGAATTACAGTATAATGAGTGGACACTAAGAATTTTCTAAGACTGGTTTGCTTCTAGCTTCTTTTGCAAAGGAAATTCTTTTGATTGAATATTGTAAGATGGCAACTTAATAAAATATTAAATATTTTAAAAGTTCAAGTCTCTTACCTGAGACAATGGGTTTCTTGAAGGAAATAATGTGTTCGTTGGAATACTTAGTGATCAGAGGAATCATGAAAAGTGGAAAAGGACTAAATGATTGAAAATAGGGGCATGTCATCATAATTTTCAAAATAGAGCCTGAAAGTTATAGGTGTAATAGCAATTCTTGGCAAAATTCTAAATGACATTTCATGTGGGGGTGACATTTGTGCACTGTCACTGAATTTTAGGCAGCATTGGGTGGCACTCCCACAGGCTGGAGTGCCTGTCTCTCTGCCCCTTGAAAACACACGAGGTGGACAGCTCACTCTCTACCAACCTCTCCACACACTTCTGAAACAACAAATGAAAATTTAAGTCTAAACTGCTGCCAAACTTCTGATCTATATCCAACAGAGATATGCCACAAAAGTCATTGAAAATGACTCAAAGGTTACAACCAATCTATGCAAAATGAATTCTTTTTACCTTTTTTCATAAGAGAAACTTCCTTTTCTTCTTGTTTCAATGAAACATCAGTGTCACTTTCATCTAAAGCCTGAAAAACAAATTCCATATAAAACTGTATAAAACCTTAGGGCATATTATTGGTTGCAAAAAATGACATTGAACAGCAGAGCCCAAGTCCAAGAAGAGAGGCCATCACATTGCCAGGAGCATAGTTTTGTGCATGATATGAAGGTAGGCAATTGTGAGTGTCGCAGAAAATTATATTAGTATGCACCTCAAAAATAACTGCAGTACAATTGCCATATTTACTTCTATAATGTTTTACAGAGATTTTTACATTTCTGCCAGTATTTGTATAGTTATTTAAAAAAAAAAACCTACAAGGATGTAACAATGCTTCCAACAAATAAGTTATTTGATTCAGCAGAAACAACCATGGAGCCTGCTCTGGCTACTCAGAGTAGAGAGAGAATACGAACTTGGCAGCAGTGAAATGAAAACTTTGGGGCCTGGGGCCCCAAAGTATGATGGGGATGAGGAGCTAACCTGGAATGTTAAGGAATGAAACATCTTGTCTTCTGATAGAAGCCTGGAAAATCTGCCCAAAAGACCCACTAATGTCTTGAATGCAGGAGGGTTAGTATCACCTGAGAGTGATAGGGTGATGTGATGGGGGATGGGGGAGCTCAGGTGGGAGATTGAACAGCAAAGTGGGTTGGGAGATTTGGGGGTGCAGTGCACCATTCAGAAGTCAGATTCCCCATTACTTTGAAACTCATAGAAGCAAATGGACATTTGGGGACTCTATAGAAAGGGGGAAAGGGGAAGGAGGAAGAGGGAGAGAGATGCCCTTAAGGAAAACAGATCTAGAAGTTACCCAATGTATTTGGTAATCTGTGAGAAGATGGGGAGACAAGTAGAAAACAGAGAGGATGGGGCTAAGGTCAAAGCTCTTGGCTGTTCCTGAAGGGCACCAGAACACAACTGCATTCCCCACTTCTATACCTCGTAGAAGGCACGGAGCTGTCAGTTTTTTGGAGATTATCCACTGTGTATAGATCTTTCACGTCCCATGCCCTCCCTAAAGTGCTAAACAAACATCGATGGACTGGCTACCAACCCTCTTTTCCTGCCCTCCCAGAAAATAGGCAGATTATTTTCTAGGGCATCCTGGGAACCACACTCTGTCAGGAAGCAGGTTAAATGGGCACACGTGTAGCCTAGCAACGAAAGCACTGTGAGGCTATCCATCACTGTTGTTTTCTACTTTACTGAAATTAAGAGAAAGAAAAGAAAAGAAATAAAACTGAAACTCAGTCATTTTGATCCATTTCATAATATTTTTGTACTTATACTATAAATTAATTCATGTTCCTGGAAGTAATTAAAATGGAATATTTTTAAAAGTTCATTTTGCAAAATAATTTAAAATTTTTTATTTTCTTTATTTCTATTGTAACATAAAATCTAGTTTTCTTCTGATATATAAATGGAAAATGTACAATATTGGTCTCTAACATTGGACTAAATATTTTTTTTGACAGTGTATAAGCAGCAGAAACTACTTTTCAGAGCAGCTAATAGCAAGCATGAGATAAGGTTATGAGGGGACCTATTTATGCTTTTGGCTATATCCACTCTCCACTCTGTTACAATCCATGATGATACTGCTCAGGATGTGTTTGTTTTCTTTGCTAGTTCTACCTTATGATGACAATCAGACAAGCTGGAAGTATCCAATTTTAACAAAAATGAAGTACTCCCAGAAGGGAACTTTACTTGGTGGTGGTAGTAACACACCACCATGAAATTACTTTTGCATTTTATTATTTAGTTTTCTGCTCTGAGATCTGTCTTGTTAGGGCTGTTTCCATAAGGATCAGATATGTCCCCTTACCCCCCAAAAATGTTACTTGTACAAAGGTTTACCATCTGTTGCAGGAGACATTTTTCTTTCCCTTTTCTGTATTTACTAGATGGAAGCATAGAAATTTATAAAAGATTTGAGATAAACAATTCACAGCCTACAGTGACTGTGTTCAAATACCGTAGCATAACATTGAATTCATAAGATGTCCCCTTCTACTATAATGGTACTTGCAGTTTTGAAGGTCTGAATTTTTTCAAGCTGAGACAAGAAGACAAGCAGTTGTCTTTTCAATGACACTATTTGTATATTTTGATACTGCTTACAAAGCTCTTTCACATACATTGCTTCATTTCATTATAGAAATGTTCTTCAGTCACTTAAGTTTAACTGTGCTTCTAACTATGCAGTTTGGGGATATCTCTTTCTTACGATTTTACCTCAATCATGAAACAGATAACACCTCCCACACAGTAAATGAGATTATAGTTAAGTCTTAACATAGGGTTTAAGATGCCTTAATTAAAATTATGTTAACAATGAGCAGAAGAGATTTATCAGTTCTCCAAGGGACGCCATGGATCAGTATAATACCACATACTCAATTTTGTGAAGTATCTATTTAAGAGGATAAATAAATCATAAATCATAAATAAGTTAGAGAGAGGAAAAAAGAACACGCCAGAGAGGGCTATGTAACACTTACCTAACTCAACTTTTGTTCAGGACACTTAAGAACTGGATGCTATCACTTTATCCGGTTTCTTTCCTTCTATTTCTCTGCTTCCGGCTCCACTCTAAACATTTACTATTATTACCAAGGGCTCATAAAGGCTATTAGATCCGTAAATGCCTTCCTGCCAAATTTAAAGGTTTTCACTCTTCGTCACATTATGTTCTGAGCCCCCTTTTCTCCACTAATTTATTGAATAAAAACAAGTTTCCAGAATGGGGTCACATATTGTTATGGTGAAGACTTATAAAGTTCTACTTTAATGGACTTATTTTCCAGTAATGGAGCAAGATATATTTATAGTGAACATTTAACATAATAGTGAATGCATATTTATTATATATGTAAATATATATTCATTGACTATTTTAATATACTCAGATACATAGAATATCTAAATAATTAGATCAAGATACTTACATATCTGCATGTATTTATTTCATATTTAGCTATCTAATATATATTTTTATGGTAGCTCTATTTTTTTATTAAACTTTTTTATTTTCTTAAATCAGTATCATTTTTGTACAATATTTGTTTTCTCCCCTCAGGTATGGGCCCCATAAATTTCCCACCAACATCACCTGTGAGCCATCACCATAGTCCCTTGTGCTCTTACACCTCCCCTATTTTGATCCCTCGCCCTCCCTCTCCCCTACTATAATCTGTATATATTTCATATTGCCCATAATATTTTCCTTTAGGTCAAGGTCTATATCATATATTTGTTTTGCGTCTGTCTGTAAGTTTGCTGGTGAGCTGATGAATGACGGTGAATGATGGAGGGTGAGTATGGAGTTACTTAGGAAAAGCCTGTAGGGAAACTTTGGTTTGACCTCATAATGGGGCTGGCTCTGACCATAGAATTACAGCATCATGCAGGATCACACAGAAGCTAGAGCAACACAAGGAACTAGGAAAATTGAGAAGTGACCTACTTTTGAAATTAAAGCAACTTCAGTCATCTGATCATACTATTGTATTACCAATGCAATTCCCACTAAAACAACAATAATACTCGGATAGGAGTCAGAAAAATTGTGCATACTTCATGTAAATGCAGCTGGTGTAGGGACTGGTTATGCAGGTTATTTGCTTTTCTTTATTTTAATCTGCTTTTGGGATAGTGAGTCATCACAATGTCATAAAGTACTAACAACAAAATAGAACACTCACAGTTGCTGGTTGGGTTTGGTTTGGTTTGGTTTTGCTATGGTCTGGGCACTACAGAGCATAAACCCAGAGGCTCAACAGCTCTTCCAGAGGTTCTTCAGTTTTTATAGTAAGTCACAGAGGTCCTGTCAATGACCTGAGGGATTTAGAGTGAGCCGACTCCTTTCCTTAGTCAGAACCAGCCTCTAGTCCTTTTGAGGACCAAAGTGCTGAAACAGGGAGATGACTCCATCCACTCATGCCTTGATTCTAACACCTTTCTTGAGGCCCAGAAAGTGCCACACTCTGGGATAGACACTGGAGGTTACATCTTTCAGAGTAAATACCAGAGGGTCCATTGCCAACCCCTTAAAGTACATGTCTCAGTAATGATCTGGCCATTAAGTTTTTAAGAATGTCTGCAGATTGGGTAAATAAAACGCATCCATCTGCCAGTCTGTTCTCAAAAAACAACAACAACAACAAAAAACAAAACCAACCCCAAAATGATCACAGAGGACAAAAGTGTTAACGCTAGTCGAACCAAAAAGTTAGTATGGATCCTGGTTATTAAGCAGGCGGGTATAACCTAACCTTAAATAACTACATCACAGGTATTCTTCAAGTGTCTTAGCAATCTGTGTTTGCCATTGATATTCAGAGCAGATAACTGAAAGATTATTATAAATGTGAAAATAGTATGTACAAGTATGTAGGATAAAGGTAAATGCTGCTTCCTATTTGAATCAGAAGAAAATCTGCAAAATGTCAATGTAAAGTATGTGCTCTACCAGGATAAAAGTATGTGCATGTGTAATAAAAATTTAGTGCTTTATAATGAATCTCAGAAAATTATTCTTATTAATGTCTCTAGCTTATTATTAGCATTGGTAATTTTAGTCTTCTGGTGTTCCTTAATTTTGAAACTTTCTTCCAATGGATGACTTGCTTTACGAGCTATCAGTTGTGGTCTCTCAGCCTGATTTTCCTAGTCATTTGTCAGAACAGATTCTTCCTATGATGTCTACTCTATCTGGCCATTTCTTATTCCTCATCTGATGACATAACTTCAGAATACTTCTCTCTCTAAAAAGATGGTTGGTAATCTAGTCCCACTGCTTCGTTTCTATTTTGATTGCTTCTATTAAGCAAGGTATATTAACAACTGATCATTTAACTCTTTGAGGGCTAATGAAAATACCATATCCACTTCTAGTTCTGGTTGGTGCAGAGCTCAAACATATGCCAAATTCTTGCCGGGAGTAAAAAACTGAACTGACAGTTTCTCACATAGTAATGCACTGAAGTTTTTCACTGGACTTAGAAAAATTATTAG